TTTGTTTCCTCGACAACCTGATCATAAGACAGCAGCAGCAGCACATCCCTGCATATGAATTGCAGCACTGATTTAAATACATCTCATGTCAGCTCCTCATTAAGTCCCATCCCCACGCCACCTCCCAGGTCTCAGCCACAAAGACATCTTTGTTTTAAGGTGAATTTGGGAGAGAGAAAAAAAACTGCCAATAAAATATGCAGGAGCCAAACATGACTCAGTGCAAGACATATTTACTGCCAGGTGCTGATGGTTAGAGTTCATCTTACATAGGAAATGAGATTGTCCTCACTTCCTCACAGAAAACGTATGATTTACCTGCCACATCCTGCAGGTACATGAGCAGTTTACTGTTTTAAATTTTTCAGCCATTTGAACTGTGTTTAGGTTTACGAGTTAAGAATTATGACTCCCCCACCAGCAGTAGAGGACTTCCTGAAAGGCCTCTGGACAAAATGAGTTCGTGTCCTACAAGATTGATAAGCTAACAGCTAGTCCAAGAACAGCTTACACATGCATTATTTCTTTCTTAAAGATGCAATGTGTTAGCCTGACAAGTCAGACTAAATATATATTAGGGATGTGTATTGGTGAAATCCTGGCAACACAATACGTATTACGATACAGGGGAGACGATACAATATATCACGATATATTGCGATACATTCAGTCAGATGATATTGGTGATTTTTTAGACTAAATTTACTATAGGAAAATTCAATAAACAGTCCAAACTGATACTTAACATGTTTAACCATGACAGAGGGATTTACATTTCAATGGTGGAAACAAAACCCATTACACACTGCTGCCAACTAGTGGTCGGCGTTTGAATTATACCACAAGAAAAGAAAATACACAAGTTTCCATGTAAATTCTTCCAAAAATTAGACACGCGACTTTTGAATATCGATACATTTTAGCAAAAAACAATATCACGATATATTGTGATATCGATATTTTCGATACACAGCTTTTGAATATCAATATTATATCGCTGGGGAAAATATCATGATATATTGCCATAATCGACATTTTCTTACATCCCTTATAAATATATTATTTAGTCTGGCAATGCTCCATTGATGGCTCTCGGTCGTGGGGTGGGTTCTACGATTGTCTTTCAAACGAACTCCGCATGCTATTGGACAATGACCAACGTGATGTACTCACCGCAATGAATGTTGGTTAACAAGGCAGACCGCTGTTGAAGAAGGCAAATTTACATCCCTTTTCTAAATAGAGGACTTAAATAAATCTGTCTGCTCCTGATTCTAATAAAGCCCAAGTCCAAATAGTTCAAAATTGATGTAAAAGCCAATTCAAATGAGCTGTCACCATCTTGTTCCACTCTGTTGCATCATCCTGCCCACTAGAAGAATAGAGGGCTCTGACTGGCCCACAAAGCTGATAGAGGGCTGTGATTGGCCCAACATTGTGGACCAATCACAGCACTCTATCAGTTTGAAACCCCTCTTTCCTATTCATTTTCTCTCTCCCTTTCCTTACAATTTTTTTTCTAATTTTAAACATTTTTTTAGTTATTTTAAAAATCTTGTTTGTTTTTTGAGAAGCGCCTTGTGATTTTTAAGATCATTTTCTTTCTTTCTTTCTTTCTATCTATCTATCTATCTATCTAGAGAGCTGTGATTGGCCAGCCAGAATGCTGCTATGGGCTGCGGAGGTTCCAATGGAGCATTCCTAGACCAAACTTTGCTAAGCAAGAATTTGGTCTAGTTCACCAGGCTAACGATGTGTAGTTTTTACCCTTAATCTCTGGAAAAATCCATCTAAACATTGTTGACAATGAATTAAATGGTGTCCAGTTGGTGAAAGAAATTAGTGGCTTTGTAACATATAACCATGAAAATCGAGTCTAAAGTACATAGGGAAGGGTCTAGCATCTTTGGGGAACGTCATGTTTCCTTCTGGCCGGCTCGGGGTCCTGCGCCGGTCCATGACGTCACACTAGATCAGGAGTGGGGAACCCTGGTCCTCGAGGGCCGGTATCCTGCATGTCTTTGCTCCAACACTTCTGATTCAGTGGTTGATTCACATGTTCTGCAGCTCATCAGGCTCTGCAGAAGCTTGTTAATCACCTGCTGATTGAAATCAGGTGTGATGATGCAGGGTTGAAACTAAAATATGCTGGATAGCAGCCCTCGATGGACCAGGGTTCCCCACCCCTGCACTAGATGATTGGCTGGACATACAACTTATGGAAGTTACGTTATCACGTTCAAAAACATTTAGGCAATAAGAAACACGAACTTAATAACAAAATTGCTAAACTCTCTCCAAAAAATTTATAAAAGAACAGAATCGAAAAAGAGATGCAGTTTATTTTGGGCCAGCCGTATTGCTGTAGTATGATGGCATCATCGGCAGACGCAGGACCCCGAGCAGAAACAACAGCACCAGAAAACTACAATCAACATTACATTCTCCTGACGGAATTACCTGAAGGACCATCAAAATCGAAGGCATCATGCCGAGGTCGCATGCTTTCTGCTCCACAGGTAACAACATTTACCGTTCTGGGTTTTTTTTTAAACTAGCGACAGTCACGGCGATAAGCTGTCAAACTACCGTGAAATGTATGTACTGCCCCCTAGCGCCAGGAGACTACACACTGCTGCTTTATATCCAAGATTCAATCTTTGATATTTTATAGCAAGTCGAGCAACATTATTTTATCAACATCACATTACAGTTAATTTTGTATAATACAGTTACTTAAGAAAGCAATATAAAAAAAACAGTCAGTATTTGGTGTAGTCACCATGTGCCTCATGCAGTTCAACACATCTCCGTTGGAGTTGATCAGGTTGTTGAATGTGGCCTGTGAATTGTTGGTCCACCCCACTTCAATAGCTGTTCAAGGTTGCTAAATTTTGTCAAGAACTGGTTGTATACAAATGTGCTTGATGGGTGGCACATCCAGTCAAGCAAGAACTGGGATCTTTTCATCTTTCAGGAACTGTGCACAGAACCTTGCTAGACGGAGCCGTGCATTATCATGCTGCAAAATGAGTTGATGGCCGTGGTTGAACTGCGCAACATTGAGCTTCAGGATCTCATCACGGTATCGCTGTGTGTTCAATATCCCATCAATAAAATGCACCTGTACTTGTTTTCCATAACATATGCCTGCCCATAACCTCACCGCCACCATGGGCCACTCGATTCATCATCCTCGTCGTCATCGTCTTCCTCTGCTTATCCAGGTCCGGGTCGCGGGGGCAGCATCCCAACTAGGGAGCTCCAGACCGTCCTCTCCCCGGCCACCTCCACCAGCTCCTCCGGCAGGACCCCAAGGCGTTCCCGGACCAGATTGGAGATTTAACCTCTCCAACGTGTCCTGGGTCGACCCGGGGAACTCCTGCCGGCAGGACATGCCCGAAACACCTCCCCAGGGAGGCGTCCAGGAGGCATCCTGACCAGATGCCCAAACCACCTCAACTGACTCCTTTCGATCCGGAGGAGCAGCGGTTCTACTCCGAGTCCCTCCCGAATGTGCAAGCTCCTCACCCTATCTCTAAGGCTGAGCCCGGCCACCCTACGGAGGAAACTCATTTCGGCCGCTTGTATCCGCGATCTCGTTCTTTCGGTCATTACCCAAAGCTCATGACCATAGGTGAGGATTGGGACGTAGATCGACCGGTAAATCGAGAGCCTGGCTTTCTGGCTCAGCTCCCTCTTCACCACGACAGATCGGCTCAGCGTCCGCATCACTGCAGACGCCGAACCAATCCGCCTGTCGATCTCCCGATCCCTCCTACCCTCACTCGTGAACAAGACCCTGAGATACTTAAACTCCTCCACTTGAGGTAGGACCTCTCTCCCGACCCGGAGTTGGCAAGCCACCCTCACATCAGTCCTGAAGAATGTAATTTCTCTAAACTGAGATTGTTTCGGAAGACTTTTACATTGAGTAAGACGGATATATTTATAACAAAAAAACACTTTAAAGTTGCTAAAATACCCCTTAAAAATGTAAAGTCAATTCTAAATGTATTTTAATACTTTGACTTAAAAAGTGCTTATCTTTTTCTGCAAATATTAGATCTGATGCACACAAATAACAGATGGGGACCCCCATCCGTACTCCTTCATCAGCTCCTAACTTGTGCCTTTCTCTTAACAGATAGACCCACAGGAGAATACTGGGACACTGTTAATCTCCTGCTTGACAGGCACAACCGCAAACAAAAGCTAACGCGTACACTCACTACATCCTAATCTGTTTTGATGGAAAACAACAGCTTAAAGCATTTTTTCCCTTTTTTTCCAACAAAGAGCTTTAGATAACAACGTGTATTATTTGGAACACATTTACCCAGAAAGGTCATGCTGAAGGTTTTAAAAGAAGTGGCGCAGAATTGGATTACGGTTCCTATAACAAAACCTAGAATTCTTACACACACACGAGCTATCACTGAGACACATGACACATGGCAACCTTTTCTAGAGGGGAGAAAAAGCAAATTAAGACTTATAGATTTCCAAATCATACAATATGGTTGTGTTGCCATTTTCTGACAATATGTGTTTAATATTGGTGCAGATTTCCTCTACATGCACGGCCGTGTTTTAATCTGCTCCTGTGAGTATACTGTGCACGCATTTGAAATAAGTGCCCGTGCGCGCGCCAGTTGTGATGTCATTTGCATCAAAATTTTCATCGCTATTAGGGATTCCCCGATGCAAACTTTTACCAGTCGCTTCTTTTTTGTGTGAAACTTTCTTCATATGCGAAACCAACTGCACAACGAGACTGGATGTCTAAAGAGTGTGCTTTTTTTCTACAACGTGCATGCTTTTATGTGAGGATCTTTGCACAACAGCGCGCAGCGATACCTGATTATAACAGACAGTCCGAGTGCAGATGAAAGGCTGCGTTTATGATTCCTATCATTAAAAAAACACATGGAAAAGGAACCGTTGTGTCTGCAGCTGCTCGACTAAGATTTAAAAAAGGATAAAAGAAATACACTTACGATTTTAATGGATTATGAATGACAGTCGCCATCTTTCTGCAGAACTGTAATGCAATATTCCAAATCTGTGTGCAGTTTGGGACCCTTCTTAAAAAAAAGAAAAAAAGAAAAAACGACAGCCAATGCGGTCCTCTGCTCTTTCTAATACAACAGAAGCATCAACACATGAGGCGTGGCTTCAGTGAAATATGTCAACACACTCTGCACTGGAATCATTCCACTCAAATAATTAGATTTAGTTATAAAACAGCTGTCTAAAAGTTTATGAGTTGTACGCCATTACCAGATGTTCTTAATATTTCTACAATTTTTTATCTTTTTGTTTGAACATTTGAGCATTATTTGTCCTAATTTACATTACATACTACCAATGGGTATAAATCACGAAGTTCGTGATCAAAGTTATTAATTTCTGTGATTTGTTTGTTTTTAATGTTCAACATCATTAATCATTTCGTAGAGGACGCGTATGCTACATTTAATGTCCACCGGAATTAAATGTAGCCTTCAACGCACAATTATTGTTTCTTGGAACCACGTGACGGGCTCAGAGTTGTTTCTTGTGCTCAGCTGTTAAAAATAAATGCTCAGTTACTTTAATTGAAGATTATTTTCAAATCAATAAAAGCGCAACAATATAGTAAAACTATTATTTATACAATTTCAATATTATTTTCTCTTACTTTTCAGATTAATATGGATTTTCGTATTAAAGTAGAACATGGTGGATGACAAATCAAAATTATAATTACCGTATTGATAATTGTTTCGGCTTTTCAGTGATTTTTGTTTATTGTTGATTGAAAAAATAAAATGTCCCACATGATCTTAAATGCAGCAACCAATGAACGTATATTACGTCCGAAAATTGTTGTTGAAAAAATTTACCAATGAAAAGTGCGAAAGGCGGGACTATGTAAAGTGACGTAATGTTGCGTTTGTCAACAGTTGGTAAGTCAGTCTTCGCTCTTTCATATTTGTCTGCTTAATTATTGAACAACCTTAAATACTTTGATGACTTTTGATAAAGTAAAATATTAAACCTGAAGTCCAAACAGTTTTGTTTCACTTTGCCCACGGAATGACCTGCCCATTGAACGCGTCAGTACAAGTAGCATTTTCCTTTTTCCGAGGTACATCGAATGCCGCATTACCGTAAACCAAGTAGCTCAAGAGAGTTTAAAAATTAAGTCATAATTAGTACTTTATTCTGAATTATGTTTGTTCATCGTCAATAGGATTAATTTGCTGTTTTAAACCTTTGTTGGATGCAACGTTTTTGAAGTCCAGCTACATTAGCAAACGTGTCGATAGTTTAATGCTAACGTTGCTAACTTAGCTAACAAGTAATCACGTCGTGAGCAGAAAGCGTGATGTGACAACCTTCACTGTTGGAGCCAAGAAAAAAAAGGATGAAGAAACGAAACTGGCCACAAAGTCGTCGCTACAGACGGTACAGAAACGACCGTGAAAGATCTGCTGGCGACGAACAGTGTGTACAATATAAACATCCATAGTGTTCCTGAAAGTGTGCTATCAGGAATTATGTAGCTTTGTTGTGTTCTGTGTACAGGTATGGACTCAATGATGCTGGACCATCACACAGAGCGTCTACCTGTACGTCATCATCATCTTCATCTACCAGCAGTGTAGCACCTGGTATGTGTTAGATTACATTCCAGGGACACTCACCTGTGTTTAATCATAACAAAATCACAACCATTAAAACCTCACCACCCAATACACTAAAGCAGGCAGACAGTTGTATTTTTGTAAGTTTAAAGGGACGTTTCCTTTTCTAGGAAGTACATTTTCAGAAAATTGGGGTAATTGAAGCAGTTATACACTGTCTGTAGCCTAAAAAGAAGACGATCACTTCTTTATTGTTCTACCAGAGCTGCCAGGTTTCTACTTTGACCCGGAGAAGAACCGCTACTTCCGTCTGCTGCCTGGACACAACAACTGCAACCCACTGACCATGGAGCAGCTGCGAGAGAAAGAACGAGAGAAAAAGAGACACAAGATGCTGGCAGAAGATGAGAACCCTAGAAAAGTAAATCCAGTTTCAGATCTGTCATATTTGTTTTACTTGCTAGAATTAAAAGAATATTTCATAATATTTTGGGATCCTGGATGGGTTTCAGGGAAGAGAGTTAATCAGGAATGTGTGTGTGTGTGTTTTTTTTAACAGATATCACCAAAACCAGGACTGAACACTTCTCTGCTGCTGCAGAAAAGACATCTCGGGATTCTGCCTGAGAAGTCCTATTCCAGGTAGTGGATCATTTCTGTGCTTCTGTCCCCACAGCTGTAAACTACCCAGTGAAACTTAGGCCCTGTCCACACGTAGCCGGGGATCTGCCAAAACGTAGATATTTTTCTACATTTTGGCCTGTCATCCACACGAAAACGGATCTTTTTAAAAACTCCGGCCAAAGTGAAGATCTGCGTTTTCTCCGTTTTGGGTGTCTGCGTGTGGACAGACAAAACCGGAGTTTTAAGGTCCGCAACGTCACTTTCCGCGATAAAAAAATGCTGACATCACGTGTGCGACCTGTGTTTACACTAGCCGACAGCATGGAAGCCCTCAGAGCTGTGCTCGCTTTACCAATCGTCCAAGCGCTTTTTGCTTGTTTGCTTTTGCAAGAGGAATTACTGCTCCTTGCGGAAGACCACAGACGAAGGACGAGGTTAAGAACGGGGGAAGTACTGCCGCCTACAGGTCTGGCATGTCCTTAACAACGTATTTATTCGGGTACGTGTGGACAGAGTTTTTTTTAAAACGAGGTGGTGTGGATGAAAGTTTTTGGAGGGGCGGGTATTCGTTTTTAAAGAAACCCGGCTACGTGTGGACTAGGCCTAAGACTAGCTCCAGAGCTCATCGGTTCTGTGTGTGTAAAATGGGGTTTGCCATTAATGATGACTCAAAACAACTTTTGACTTCAGCTGTAAATAGATGAAAATGTCATCATGTTTATGCATTTTGCATTCATATCCTTAGGCGCTTGGGCTGCACAGTGGTTAGAGCTGTTGCCTTGCAGAAAGAAGGTCCTGGGTTCGCTTCCCGGCCTGGGATCTTTCTGCATGGAGTTAGCATGTTCTCCCTGTGCATGCGTGGGTTCTCTCCGGGTACTCCGGCTTCCTCCCACAGTACAATAACATGACTGTTAGGTTGATTGGTCTGTCCAAATTGCCCTTAGGTGTGAGTGTGTGTGATTGTCCTGTGTGTCTCTGTGTTGCCCTGCGATGGACTGACTCTCTGTCCAGGGTGTACCCCGCCTGATTGCCTGTTGACCGCTGGAGCTAGGCACCTGCCCCCCCCGCGGCCCTACGTGGACAACGCGGGTTCGGACAATGGATGGATCCTTAGGCGCTTCTATTTTGGTGTTACTATGGTTACCATTTGCTTCCAGGCTCATCCACGAGGTGAAAGTCAGTGGGATGAGGCGACACAAACTGGAGATTCAGAGCACGGACAGCAGCAACGACTCTAACACTGATAACTTCAGGCTCATAGTGGTGAGAGCACACAACTTCACCCTGATGGCTCCTCTTTCTGCTCTTCTGCCCAATCAGAATTAGCTTTAAAATGTTCTGTTTAACTTTTTCAAATTTGCCTGATGTTCCTTTTGTTCTAAGGGAGACTCGGCGTGTGAGCGAGTGTTCACAGTGAACGACGTCTCTCATGGCGGCTGCAAGTACGGCATCATGAACTTCAGCAGCAGCAGCCAGGGCTCTTTGTCAGTGGAAATGTGCGATAACCTCTACTTCACCAACCGCAAGGTGGGAGAATATCATCAGTATTTGAATTTTAAAGCATCGTCTGTGTTTTTTATTATTATTATTTTTAAACCCGTCATGGAATAAAAAAGGGACTTAAAAAAAAAAAATAAATTTCCTTTTCACATGTAACTCAGGCAGAGCTGATCATTAACTGGAGAAGGAACACCAGTAATACTTCACAATAAGTCTCCCTTTAATAATGTCACTTAGTTCATTATTAAGCATGAATAAACTAAGTATTAACAGCTTCTTGATATTAATGTTAATTTTAAGTAATGAATTACTAAGCAGACACCCCACCCTGGCCCTTTGTCCTACCCTTAAGGACACGTAATAGTTAACAATATCAAGATTGTTAATAAAGGGATCTTTATTCTGTTAATGCTTAATAATGCACTAAGTAACTAGGGATGCAACGATACCACTTTTTTCCAAACCGATACTTGGATCTGAGTACTCGCCGATACTGATTACCGATGCAGATACTTCTACCACACAAAAAAAACGCAATGAATTGGGATACAGGTTTTATTTTCTTCTGTTTTCAATAGGAAAAGACTGTGAGGTAGATAAAAAGTAATATAAGTGATCACAAAACTAAAATATTTGGTGAACAGAAATGACAAGTTACAGTGAAGTCACTTTCAAGCTACTGCATTGGTATTATTTACTGGTATCTGTTAACTTTTACCGATACTGGTATCAGTATCTGTATCGGCACCGATACCAGCGTCATATCGGTGCATCCCTGTAAGTAACAACAGTAAAGGGACCATTATTGTAAAGAGTTACCGGAACACTTGCATCATCAGTTTCACTAAGCTGTCTCCGGTGCAGCCCGGGGCACTTCCTGGGGGAATATTGGAACTTTTCTGCCAGATTAGCCAATTTTTATAGCGGAAATGGAGGATTTTATTTCAGAAGGCGCCATCTAGAGGTGGAAAAATGTATTGCACCTTATGCTTCTCCCCTGACTTCCGTTATTATGGCTGGAAGTGATGCGTCTAGCACCTCTAGCAAGGGTGAGGAGTGAGCACCACGTCACCCCTGCCACGTGGACCTCAAGGGATAAACCCATCAGTCCTGCTCAATGGTTAGCTTTCCTCGCCGGGTCACCCAGTGGGAGGGATAAGTAACGTTGCCAACTTTGCATCAGTCTACGTACTTCTGCAAATGCTTGCGCACACTCTGTGATTGACATCCGTACGTGAGCAGATGTCGATAGCAAATCTATTGGCTAATGCCGAGCAGCGCTAAATTCAAATTGTATGGGCCTCTATGGGATGGGGGGGGGGGGGCTTAGCAAACAACAAATAGATGTATTGCCTACATTATAACACAGTCACAATCACTTTTAGATTTTTCTACAAAATCATTCATAATTCCTGAAAGGGGTAAAACTCCAGACGGCTGCGTTAACGGCGGTGTAAATTTTAATGAAACATTCTCATGAATTTATTTGAATTTTTGACATGGGAGTTGTCCTAAATTGACGACAACCCATTTCGTAATCTCACTCTCGACTAGCCGTTAGCTTGTCAATCCAGACTACCTCTCTTAATTGTATTCAGTATATCTTTATGTAATGGCTATCTTCTACATTTTATATTGGAATGCACAGATCTTTTTAATATTAGGTGATGAATTCCTATTTCCAGATGTCTACAGCGTGATCTAACCTGTGGGGGAGGGGGGGAGGGGGTCTGAGACTTTGCCCTTTCATAATAGTTCTCTCTTATTTTAAGTAAAGTTTTTTAACGGAAAATTTTTGAAAAAATTCCTCGTTGCTTTGAACATATTCAACAGGAAGTGTCTGCTCTTTCTTATTCCAGTCATGTTGCTCGTATCCATTTAGCTCTGCGCCTATTAGAAATACAGGTGATCCCTCGTTTATCGCGGTAGATGCGTTCCAGACCTGGCCGCGATAGGTGAAAATCTGCGAAGTAGGGACACCATATTTACAGTACAGTACTATATTGAATTATCGTATTATCACATTCTCGTTTTGTGGGTAAAACCCAAGAAAAAAAAATTTTACTTGGTTTTTTTATAGTTTTATTACAAAAAGTGTATTTTATGATGAAATTGATGAAAAAAAAACAGGAATTTCTTGATATTTCGCATAGAAAAATGCCGCGAATCGGCGAATTTCCCTTGAATAAGGCTCCAAAGAAAGAATCCGCGAAGTCGTGAATCCGCGATAAACGAACCGCAAAGTAGCGAGGGATCACTGTAAGTGGAAAAAATACATGTTTTACTTCCTGTCATCAAATCCCAGTGGAAAAAGGGTTCATAAGATTAGTTAAATGTGTGTTTTTTTTACTTGATACATAAAATAACAGCTCTATCTTTGATTAATAGGTTGTCCTAATATTAATTAATATTATTAAATATGTTTCAGGTGAACTCCATCTGTTGGGCATCCGTCAACTACCCCGACTCTCACGTTTTGTATCCTTGCAGCCGTTCTGCATTTGAAACTCAAATTTCTCATTTGGATTATTCTGCTCTGAGGCAGACTTCTCTGGTTTTTATAAATGTAACAGATTGGATCATCTTCTCTGTGTTTGTTGTGTTTTTTCCTTCACTGAAGCGGTCATCAGGTTGTGTCTGGTTGGCGCGGCCGACACCCCCGGCTGCGTTAGTTTACTGCCTGCTTCGCTCTTCAGCAACTCTAATCAGGGTCTGTTAAACCCCTTGTGCTCTTTGTGAAAATCACACCAGCTTGTTGTCACCTTTATAGGTTTTAATGTTTAAAGTCAGTTTTATTGAAATAAACGAGTAGATCCCTTGTTGTTTCTCTCCTTAGATCAGCCCGGGATGCTGTGTAGCTTTAAAATATCCACCGCCTGGTCTTGTGCTTGGTGCCTCAATCCTCAGTTTGATAAGACCTTCAGCACTGGTGAGCACCAAGCTTGTCATGTTTCTTGCAAATGGATCAGACCTGCAGGTTACTGATTAGTTGACGTGCTTGTGTTGGTAGGCTTGTCCCGCAGAGTGATTGTCAAAGATGCAGAGACCGGGCGGACACAGGTCTACAACGTCGGCACAGATGTTTTGGCTCAACATTTCGCCCTCAGGGTGATTAGAAGTCTTCATTTGCTGCGTGTGTATTCGAGGCAGCGGAATGCAAACTTCTTCATCTTTCCAGGTTCCGGTCTTGTTTAACGGTTGTAGATCGGGGGAGATTTTCAGCATGGACCTGCGGCAGCGCGGCCGCAGGGATCACAGTTGGAAGGCCAAACGCTTCCATCAGGAGTCAGCCGTCACCTCCGTGCGAGTCCTTCAGGACGAGAACTACCTGCTGGCTGCTGACATGCTGGGCCAGGTCAGGTTATCCAACCGTAAACCTGTAGATTGTCTTTGACATTTTGGTTTTGCAGAATTAACCCTGCGTTGACTTTCCATGCAGATCAAGCTGTGGGATGTGCGAGTGACAAAGCCAGTTCAAGAGTACAAAGGGCATCACAACGAGCACGCCTACCTTCCCCTCCACGTTAATGAGCCTGAAGGTCTTCTGTTTGCAGGTAGATTAAATAACCTTGGTTTACTTATTATGTATAAGCCAAGTGTCCAACTAACCACTTTGTTTACGTCGCACAGTTGGTCAAGATTGTTACACGAGGATTTGGAGCCTGAAGGACGGTCACCTCCTCAGGACCATCCCATCGCCCCATCCAGCTGCTAATGACATGATCCCCAGTGTTGTCTTCTCCTCTAATTTAGGTGGCTGCCGAGGGCTCCCTGGGCTGCTCATGGCTGTCAAACACGACCTGTACTACTTCCCCTACAACACGGACTACCAGGAGAGCTCAAAAAGGGATGACGGTTCATCTTAAAAAATATACACTTTATTTTGATTTACTGGCTTGATTGTATCATTTTAAAAGCTTTAGCTGGACGACGGCTACATTTACATGAAGATGCTAACGTCCAGGTGCAAATTATCTTCTAAACATGTGTCCTTGACCTCGGTGGACATGTGAGAGCTAAGAAACATGGGTTTTAGTCTACATCAGATATGTTCTGACACCTTACAGATTTGTGGTTAGCTTATTAGTCCAATCAGATTGTTTGGGTGGTTATGTCACATTCAGTATAAAAACCACGATTAGATCTCAGGGGTGTGTGATTTTTAATTTGTGCCAAAAGGATGAGAAAATGCTGTATTATTTCAGAAGTGTACTTAGTAACAACTTGACCGCAGACTTTTTGGGAAAATTTATGTTGATTTAATTTTAAAAATCTATTTAAGCATTTATAATTGGTGAACCCTCAATGATAATAAATTTTTTTAGAAAAAATAACCAGTTGTAGCGTATTTGATGTGAAATGGCACACACGTAGGAGTTTCTGCAGTTTATTACGTACAGATACATGAACACACGTTAATGATGGGCTCCATGTGATATCAGTAAGTGATCATCTCTGATTGGAGCAAACCAACTCTTACAGTGAAATCCCACTAAGCTTATATGGCAACATGACACACTGAGCTGATAACTCATTAAATGCAAATGAGCCATGCCTCCTGATTTGTTGATGAACTCTCTCTCATTTTGAGGGTCCAGCCTCAAATACAATGCATATTCTTTCCTACAATGTTTCTGTGAACCAGTCACTCAAAAACAGTCCTGTAGAGTTTTATCCTGATGCAGACAAGCAAGTCCTGACAAAAGGTTCTATATTAAAAAGGCATTTGAATTTATAAACTTGTTTTTCCTCATAAATGTACTAATTAGGCTGTTCATTAGCCTATTCAAGTGTACAGCCACAAAGGATAAAGGGATTATTCATTATTTATTTACTATTGTAATATTATATAAAATAGTTATCTTATTTGGAATGATGTAAACAAGTTTCTGAATGTTCCATCTAGAATCACAAGGGTTAGCACTAGCAGAGCTAGCACTAGCCGAGTTAACACTAGCAGAGTTAGCTCTAGCAGAGTTAACACGAGCAGAGCTAGCACTAGCAGAGTTAACACTAGCAGAGCTAGCACTAGCAGAGTTAGCACTAGATGAGTTAGCACTAGCAGTGCTAGCTCAAGTAGAGGAAAACTACTAAAAAAATCTATCCATTAAGTTTAAAATTAAACGTAAATATATCAGATTTTTTTTTGTTCAGACCGTTAGATCCAACAGAAACCGTTTTACATCCCGTCAATCTTTCCTTTTTAAAAGATCTAAACAGTTCTAGACTAAGACAGACGATGCTAGCTGTTCCACTGAGAGGGATTGTCAAAGAGCGGAAGGACTTAAGTGTCTAAATGCACATTTTATAGAGCTGAACATAGCTGTGAACAAGCAGGATTCTTATTTCTCTTTAAAATTCTCGCTTCGACGGGGTGTTTTTTAGCCTCATTAAATGAGATCAAGGAACTGAAATGACGTGATACCGGTGTTACAAAAAATGAAAACATTAGTCCAACTTATATAAGGCCAGCGAGAAAAGTCTGTTTGTGTCGGGTTTGTGTCTTAAACACAGATTCCTGCTTCCTGTCCTGCTAGAGCTCTCCAGATTTCTGGCTGCAGCCGTCGCAGACCCGCACCGGGTGGTCCCAGCCTCGGGATGGGACAGGGCGGCGTTCCTGCGAGCAGTCGTCACACACGCCCTGGCCACAGGCGCGACAGTGGTGGATGGAGAGACGTGGAGCGAACTCCCTTTGGCACGTGCAGCAGGAGTGGATGTCCTGATCTGGGACCCAGTAGGCTGGGCGAGCTGCGTCCTTTACCAGGCCTGGGAACAAAGGAAGGAGCAAGCGACTGAATCCAACCGGACACTCTAATCATTCAACAAATTTTTAGATTCAGGAATGCCGAATGGTAATATGGAATGTTTAAAGGACTCTTAATTCCAACTCGTTACACAAATTTCTTCTACTGTTCTGCACAGAAGCAATACTCACCAAGCGGTATGTCAATGGCACCGACCACAGCACCAAATGTGTTCTGAACTGCCTCCCCAACCTTCCTGGCTATCAGGGTGCCTCCCTCCTCCTCTAATGCAGCATCCAGTAACTCTACAAAACAAAAACATCAAACGCAACCCAGCTGCACTCAGGAAACTAACGCAACAAAACGTAACCAGGATGTACTGGTGCAGGCGAGGTTCATTTACATATGTGGATTTATTTGCTTACCTGTAGGAATTCCCCTGTTGTGGAAACAGGCATCACAGACTCGAACAGGTGCAAGGCCCCACCCCCTTTCTGGGACCGGACGGGTTTTAGAAGAGCAGGTGTCACAGAAACCCTCTCCACAGGCCCGGCAGTGGTGCTTGGTGCCATTGAGCTGAAACTCCTCCCCACATTTATGACAATTCTACCACAACCGGAAAAGGGGAAAAACACTTGAAGCAGGCACAATATTTACAAGTGTTGAGGCTCTTTTATGTTTTAGTACCAGGATAAGCGAGTTGGGTGTCCAGTATGTGGGGGCGATCTGGTCTGTGATCCAGGAGGTGACGGCTTTGGCAGGTTTGACACTGAGCTCAGACACGGACTGAGAAATGTATTTGACGCCGTCCAGCAACCTCTGAGCAGCATTGTTGTTGTCTTTCAAAAAGCCATCCGACTGCAATGATGTGACAAAATGTAGTAAAAACTGGTTTAATTCGTCTTTATTCAAGCGTGACTCACTTTAATTACAGAAATATAAAAGCTTTCTCCCTCACCCCTGGCCAGATGTGCTGGATCTCTGTCCTGACCACTGTTTCCACTGGATCCTGGTTTCCGTACCAATACTGCCTGCTTCTGTAGATCACTCCACAGTTGGGACACTCGATTACATATCTGGACAAAAACAAAAAAACTCAGTTTCGGCATCAAAATGACACCGGCATGCTGCATTTTCCAGCTGTGTGAACTCACCCTGACCAAGCATAGATGGCCAAGCCAAACCACGGAGAGTCCGAGGAGGCTGTCGTTTTGGGAACCACTATGACTTCCTTTCCTCCCTCGTAGCAGGCCTGAATAGTTTCAGCACCATCACTCAAGAGTCTGAAAAAACTGGAATATTTTCCACGTGCTGCTCTGCTTGTACTTGCCTTGCATGTGTAGATGCGGTTATCATACTGCGCAGAGAAGCGGCAGCGATGTTTGGCTTCGTGGTCGAGCTCTTCTTTTAGGTGATTCATGCTACTCTTGCAGCCCGACCTGCACGTTGGAGATCAACTATTAGGTCCAGAAATGTCTGAACAACGATGAAAATTATTAGTATTTAGACGTTTAGATTAGATCTGAAAGCTGTTAACCGGACAATCGTGGGTTATTCTTAGGAGAGCAGAGAGACACGTACCCACAGCTGAGACAGATGCTGGAGCAGGTGAAGTACTCATCAGGAAAGAAGGCGTTACTGGTCAAATGTTCATCTGGAATGTCTCCACTGAAGCTCTCACTCAAGGCCTGAAAAAGGGAGGTGGTTAGTAAAAGGAAATATTCCGTAACCTTAAAGGGACTTTACGGACTTTTGAATTTTTATGCTCGTGATCGCCCCACTCAGGCCAAAAGCATAACGGCAGCTTCAATAGTAGGCTCGTGCACGAGGCGCGCATGCTGTACGTGCACACTCCTTAACGAAAATAACAGCTGAGACAGTCAGCTGTGTGTGTGTGTGTGTGTGTGTGTGTGTGTGTGTGTGTGTGCGTGTGCGTGTGCGTGTGTGCGCGCGTGCGCGTGTGTGTGTGTGTGTGTGTATGTGTGTGTGTGTGTGTGTGTGTGGGGCCCGGAGGACAGAGGACAGGAGAACACGCAGCTAATTAATTAAATAATGTGGTTCTGTACCTTTCTCTTCAGCACAGCCGACAAAGGTTTATGATGGGTCAGTCCTCCTGCACGCTCACATCATTCCCTTCCCTTGCTTGAAAAATTGTTCCAGAATGAAAGTTGAACCCACATCTTTTTTATCTGTGAATTCAATGCCGTTCGGCGAGTCTCAGATAAAAATTTGGTCATCTTACTGTAATAAAATATACCATTAATGTATAAAAGAAACTCTAAATTAACTATGTTCACACCCAGAATCAAACCCAGGTCTTCTGCATGAGAGTCAGACGTCTTACTAGGTGAGCTACACTCTAGTAGCATTTACAGTATCTGTAACATTTATATCCTTGAGGACAGCTGAAATAACGTCAAACCCATGGATGTAATTTTCAGTTTAAAAGTGGGGGGGACACGGGGGTATCTTTACAGTATGTTCTAATGGGAAACCGGCTTCAACACAAACGGTTGTTTTCCGCTTGGTCCTAGAGCTCAACCAGTGTCAATTTAATATAGTGTAATATTGTTTTTGGATGGTAAAAAGTGCAGGGGTCAAAACTTGACTTTGGAAAAAGTAGGGGGGGGGGGCATGTCCCCCCTGTCCCCCCCCCCCAAAATTACGTCCATGGTCAAACCAAAGAACGGTTCGGAGCAAAAATGGCTATTTTGTTGCTAATTTGCAGGAAATATCTAGAAGAAAGTTCTACAGAAAGTAGCTAAGGGTCCTCAGAAATGTAGCTAGCTTTGTCACTAGGCGTTAGGAACAGCGACAAAGTGGCACTGCCTCTCTCTCTGCTGCTAAAGCTACGGATAGCAAATGCTACGGGCTATGCCTGAGCGTGAACGTGCATGAAGCAGCCTGCTCGACCCGAGCATCTCTCTTTTTCTGTGATTTTACAGAAAAACAGGCAATCACAGTAAAAATGCCAGGGCTCATCCTACAGGACCAGGGCATTGCAGGAGAATGTATGAAGAAGACATTTATTATTTCTTTGATTATCATTTCTATACATGTTTTGGCTGTCAGACTTCCATAATGCCCCTTTAAAATCAGGCCTTGAATTATCACGCTTACCTGCAGCGCCTTAAAGATGACGCTCGCAGAACGTGGTGATCGGGTGGTGTTGTTATCCAGTTGGTGCTCCAGGCTGCGCAGCAAACCGCTGAAGTCTGTAGGAGGGTTGTAGGTCCGAGTTCCGCGGTACTGGACTGAGCTGAAAGCTTCGGGAAACAAGCCGAGTTTCCTGAAACGCTCCTGGAGCAGACGTTCGGACGATTCCGATGGTTTGTCTGAATTTGGACAACAAAAACACACAGAGAAAAAGGACAACATTGTCATTCTGCAGGAAATGTTTTAATTCAAACAAGGCTTAAAGCAAGGTGGAAACCTGATCCCAGGAGTTTGGTGTGAACGGTTTCATGGAAAATGATAACTGCTGGGCCCAGAGTCGACAACGGAACGTCTAGTCCACACCGGGTGGTGGTCGCTTTCAGCTCCCGTGTAAAATGCTTCAGGTAGGCGTCCGATGCATCACCCAGGAACTTGAAGAGATCGTCATGGAGACGGTCGGCATGCGTCCGATAGATAACCACATCAGAGATGGCCAGGACCTTGAGGAGCAGCCGTGTTCGCTGACCCTGATTAGCTCCTAAAAAGAGGAAGACAATGAGGGAATGGTTATTATGTGTATGTGTACATCAGAATTTTAGCCAGATCAGGTATTTGTTCCATACCAGCCCCAAGTAAGCCTTCTGTGTCGATGATGACGACCCTGTGCAAAGGGTCCAAAGCTGCCCAAACACCCACAGTGCATGACTCTTGGGTGGGGGAGGTCTTGAACACTTCCCTTCCAAGAAAGAAGGTGTGGTTCAGGGTGTGAGATTTGCCTTCCCCAGTGTTGCCAAATATAGAGACCACCTTGAGAAGCTCATCAGGATCACAGGCCAGTCTGTCGACAAATTCCTCCTCGTCTTTCACCTGAGAACCCACGCCAGGTGGTTTAATCACCGTAACATTTAAAAAGAAGAAGCCGTGAGATGTTTACTAAACTTTTAGATCCCTACCTTCATCTCCTCCCTCTCATCAACTAACAGGAAGCTGCAGACCTTCTCCAGCTTGGATTTGAGGATCTCCATCTCCGACTCCCCAGCAGTCACGCTGCTCTCCTGAGGAGCTTTGACAGGCGGATAAGCTGTCAGAGGGTGCTTCCTCTTGTTGACTCCACTGTGAGTGCGCTTCTGGCAGTCCACACATAGGTTGATCTTACAACCCTGGCAGCGCACCACTGCTCGGAGTCTGACGGCACAGCCGCCATCCCCTTTACAGGAGTCACAGAAAGGAACATGGCCTGGCGTGATCCGAACCCGGTCGTGATTTCTCATGCGCTCCTGGCGATGAAGCTCCAGCTCACAGCGGACGCACTGCAAGCTGCCGCATTCGTCACACTCAAAATAAGCCTCATCCGAGCCTCCGCAGGCGTAGCTCTCCTGGCAGACGAGGACCGTGTTCATCCCTTTGTCCACTGCTGGACTCTGACCACTCATGTTAAACCTGGAAAGTCACAAATCTGATAATAAATCTGGACGGCCTGTGTGGAAATGGACATTTAGTTGGACCACTAAATAAGAGGAGATGTCATCTCTTCAATACTAACAATGTCATCAACGTAAGGCTCAGACCCTTTGATTTCACAACAACAACAACAATAATGTTGACAAACACAAAGGCTAGTAATGCCATTTTTGTCATTTTGGCATAAAACAAAGTTAGGTAGCACTGGCAGCTTTGGATACACCTCCCTCAATCATTTATCTTTTGTTTATTTATATGGAGGGAGTTGTTTGTTTGTTTTGGACATGTTGCAACACAACCTGACGGTGTTGAGTGTCCAATTACAGCTCTCCAAGCTCGACAAGAGTGTCCAACTTTCCCCACATCAGCCAGTAAACAGCCTAGCTAAGACTCGCTACTACACAAAGAGACACGGTTCAAACATAACAAGTAGTATTTTTAGTCCACTGACCTACCTAACGGTGGCTTCCCGTCCAACAGACGAGTTTTTTTTCTAAAAACGATGTCCCGACGAGACCTAACCCCAGGAATTATAATCTAGGACCATTTTACCAACCGCCGCATAGCTAACCAGCCGGCTGAGCAAAGCTGTTGTATCAGCATCTCGTCAGAGATGTTGTTGCAGCTGATCGGCTTGTTTTTACCCAGAGGTCAAAAGCCATTGAAACGCAATGCATGGTGGGAAATGAAGTCCGTTGTCCTGGCTCTTCTTGTACACATTAAAATCTGTGGATATCTATTTTATTTATAAAAATGCTAAAACACTTGAATTTCTGTTATACAGTTAAATAAATTTTAATAAAAGATACAAAACGACTCAAACGAATAAAGATGAAGAGTTTACGCATTACGGCCAGTACCCACAATGCTTTGCGTCTTCCAGCTGCTTTTACAATCGCTTGTATTTCCACCGGTGCACGCCGAGACAAGTGTTGATTTTGAAACGATCTGGTTAAAATCATATTAATGATCCATGACATACTATAAATGTTAATGTGTATTGATAGTATTGAAATGTATATGGTTGCTGAAATGCAGACGTTTCTTTGTTTATCAGCTCTATTGTTTAAGCACAACTTGTACTCGGGACGTCCAGGTGTCTAAAACAATGCATCAGAGGTGGAGCTAGGTGATTCAGTAGCTTAGGGATTTTTATTTTTTGGTTAAACAAAAGTTGCTTGTGTTTTTTTCTCAGTTTTTTGTTCACGTCTGCCCTTATATTGCGTAGCAAAATAATATTTATAACAGAAGGCGTTAGCTCACTGCTAATTCTGACTAGGTCACCTAGCTGCTAGCACTAGCTAAGTGCTAGCTTTTCTCCTTCATACTCTACATTTGGGCTTTACACAATGGAGGAAGAAGCCTTCACAGACATAAATGGCAAACCAATTACTCTGGACTGCCATAGTCACTCCAGCTTTTGCAAGGAGTTTACTGTTAGCTCTCCCAAGGTGTCCATTGGGAAGGTGATGGTCTACACCTGCTCTGTGTGGCTGTTAGCTTATGCTGTGTTCTTCTTCACACAGGTAAGACAAGGTATTTCAGGTTCCTTTAAATCACTGGTGTCCGGTCCTTGTCCTCGATGGCCACTACCCTGCATGTTTTAGTAGTTTCCCTGTTCCAACACGTGATCCAGTGGTTACATTACATGTTCAGTAGGCGCTCAAGCTCTGCAGAACTATGATGCAATCCCTACTGTTAACAATCTGTTGTGTTGAAGCAGAGAAACCTCTAACCTGCAGATCGGTGGCTCTTGAGGACCATGACTCGAGACCACTGTGCTTTTTATCATGCACTATAATATTAAAATGCTCTCTGGGGAGATGTCAAATATTCGAGATTTAGTCAAAGACAATAAAACAAAAAATCAAAATAATTTTGGTGAGGTTCTCAGTTCTCATATCAAAATATGCTTTTAAGTAATTTTATAACATTTTATAAATGCTATTTTTGTAGACAGTAGTGTAAGTTTATGATCTTAATACTCTGTTTATTTTTATTGTTTTAATGATTTAAATCCACACAAAAAAAAGTCCGCTAATTCTGGCATATATAGCATGATCAGCTTAACCAGTAATCAATCAGTCTGAATCTAAATTTTTTTTCTTTATTTGCCAAGTCTGTGAATGCACCATTGACAAATAGAAATAGAAAAATCTTTAAAAAAAAAATTCTGGTCATTAAACTCACCTTTACTAACCAATATTTCACACAAATGGTATCAGCATCCATATCCACAATCAGTGCATTTTCTCTAAAATCTGCATGCAAGCGTTTCCTCTCTCTTTTAGAACACGGCGGTTCTCTCCAGTGCTATCCTCATCACCCTCGTTGGGATGATGCTTCACATCCATTTTGTGAAGGTAGACCACGAGTCTCTTCTGGTGATCGGCTCCTTGGGCATCCAGGTGTCCTCCAGCTACGCCTCAGGTCGCGAGGTCACCACTTTCATTGAGATGAGCAAGATCAAAGATATTGTCATCAATGAAGCTATTTACATGGTGTGTAAGCAGATGTAAATATAAGTTTTCAGGGAGACTTGTATTAAAATGAAATGCTTTTATTTCAGCATCAGATCATCTATTACCTGTGTGTGCTGTTGAAGGAGCCTTTCGAGCCTAATGAAGTGTCAAGTGTTGTGCCGTTGTTTCAGGTGAGCGTCAAAGTCAGTTTTTTCTTCATCTTTCTTCTATAACACACACACACACACAAAGAAAACCTCTGATGAATGTCCCTTTTTTAACTTTCAGAGCTCAAAACCTCGTCTCGGCTGCTTGGTGAAAGTTTACAAAAGCTGTCAGGAGATTCTTTCAACGTGCCAATAACCCTCCAGATTGAAATAATAACAAGCCTAGGTGATGTGTTTTAGGAAAATTAGCCAATTCTCTATAACGCATGAAAGCAAAACAATGATTTCTTCATTGTTTGTAATTTTTTCCTAGTTTTCCACCTTCATGAATAAATTCATGTGAGGTGATTGTGATCTTTTGCCAAATTTTGAAGATTAGTTTCACAGTTTAATTGTTTTTCTTTGTCGTGTTTATGATTTTTATATCAGCACTGACCTTTATTGCTAATCTAATTTTCCATTGATATAATTAAACTTTTCATTATTTTGGGATTAATGGTTAGAATAAACCAAGTAGAGGGAGCTGTTTTGTTTATAATGATGCATTTCTTTGTGTTTTAAGAAGTAATTTAAACATAATTGAATCAAGTTCCTGTTTTCTTGTTTGTTGATCACTCCCTGTTTTACCAGTAGAGGGCAGAACTACATTTTAAAACAGGAACCATCACTAGTTTCATGTTAGTTCCCAGAAAGACTCTTTATGCTTATGCAGCTTGTTTTAGTTGGTGTTTGTTACAGTCTTGATTAGTAGATCAACCATTCTGGTTTTATTAGCTTGGATTACACAAAGAACTTAAAGATTTATGTGGATATTTTTACCTTGTGTTTATGAATTTTTTATGTAAATTATTAGACATTATATGAATGTACCTTAAAATACTCGCTCATAAATCATGCACCTTCATTCTTTAGAGGTTGGATGTTTTCCTTGTTAGTGTTAAAGCTGTTTGTGCCAAGTTGTTTAAGGTTAGATCACAGCTAAATTATTTTACTGATCTTATATATTTTAGCAATAGTTCTTCATAGGTCAACAACAGACAGACATAATTAAAGGTAATGATGGTAAATATCCAGATGGAGTTGTCCTTTTATTGTGGCCTTTCTTCTTGCCCATCCATTCTGTTGCGTTACTTGTTTTGCATTCACGCTCACACACCAAGGGTCAATTAAACCAGCATCATATTACCACCCAACAACATCTTTATTCATATTCATTCATTAAAAAAAGCAAAAAGTCTTCCAAGATCAGATTTAGTTTTATCAAAACCTAAATGAATGACTTTCAAATAATCAAACTTAGCTGAAAATGTAAATTTCAGTTTCTTTTATTTAGAAACAAAAATCACAGAAAATCAACAAAAATTATGAAGATTTATTTGGAAAGTATGATTTTCTGCACTTTTAGCCTCCTGATTTCAGCTTGAAAACAGACAGAACTCAATTTTCTTTCTTTTCTGATGTTCAGATTTTTATTAGAAAATCAAAACTTTGAAAAGAAAATGCCAGGTGGCCAGTAGAAAAGGAAGCGCCCAAGCAAAGGATTTTAATTTCCTTTTGGCCTTTAAAACAACAACAAAAAAAAAAAACTTTACGCAAAGCAAAATTCACACCATTCTGCAATTATCTGATTGCAAAACCAGATTTTAGAATAAATAAATTATAACAATACACTTCAGAACCAGTTAAAATTGCAATATCCAGTTTAAATGTCACCAAATGTTGCTTCAGTTATTGGTTCTCCAACCTCAGTACCTGTGTCTGAACTCTGCTCCATCGGTCAGCAAAATAAAAGAGGTGTGATGTTCACGGAGCAAATAGCCTCTGACAGGATAATATGGCCTCCTGTGGGTGTGAAACAGTCAGAAACCAGCGAGAAGAAAACAACAGAAGTGACACCTGGGGTTTTCTAAATGGGCCTCATAAAGCAGCAACTCCCTCCATGGATGAAAGAAAGAAAACAATCTTTTATATAGCCACACTCAAGATAAAAATTCAAGAGGCGCTTGAAGAAAACAAAAAATTTTAAACATAAAAATATGTCTAAATGGGGGAAAAAATTTTTGATTAAAACATTTAAGGAAACGGAGAGAGAAAATGAATAGGAAATAGGGGAATCAGTGAATCCCGGGAAAGGTGGAATAGGCAGAAAGGGCAAAATAAGGAGAGGGTGGTGATGAAGGTCACTAAAACCAGCTTGAACAGGTGAGTTTAAAGGAGACCACTGAGTCCACTGATCTCAGGCTCAATGGGAGAGAGTTCCAGAGTCTGGGGGCCACAGCAGCAAACGATCTGTCACCTTTGGTCTTTAGCCTGGTGCGCTGCACAACCAGTAGGCTTTGGTCACTGGACCTCAGGGACCTGCTGGGGGTGTAGGGACTAAGAAGATCACCAATGTAAGATGGTGCTTGTCCATGTAAGGCCCTATAGACCAGAACCAGGATCTTGAAATGAACCCTGAGATTGACTGGCAGCCAGTGAAGCTGGAGGAGAAGCGGGGTGATGTGAGTGTACTTTACTTCCTGGGTGTACCCAAGACCTCAAGTGGGAGCCCACCATCACCTCCATCATAAAAACAGGCCCAGTAGAGGATGTACTTCCTGAGGCAGCTGAAGAAATTCAACCTTTCAGTACAGTCTATGAATCAGTTCTAAACCGCAATCATCGAGCCACCATCGGGGACATGAAAAGACTGCAGTGTGTTGTCCGCTCTGCTGAGAAGGTCATTGGCTGCAAACTCCCCTCCAGGTTATTGAGATGTGCAGGTCGGATCACAGCAGACACGTCTCACCCTGGACACAGTCTATTTGACTCGCTCTCATCTGGCAGGAGGCTCCAATTTATTCGGACCAGGACCTCTCGCCACATTCTTCCCCTCTGCGGTTAGGGTTAGATTCAAGAATTTCCACAGTTACGCTGATGATACACAGTTGTACATCGCTGTGTCTCTTGATGCTTTTAGATGTGGCAAGGTGGAAAAAGGAGGGCCCGGGTGGGATTCAATCCCCAGACTCCCGGGTGAGAGTCACGCGCACTAACCAGTAAGCCAAAGGGACATCCCCTTGCCCAAGTAGCCAGGGCGCATGATCAATCGGGACACTGTGACAGGATGCTCACACTGCCACATAGACATTAAATCCTGGATGGCAGAAAACTCTCCAGCTCAACCAGTACAAAACTGACGTTTTAGTCATCGGTCATGAGGCCCAGAGAGAGAAACATTTACCAAAACTACAATATTTGTCTTTTAATCCAGAGTGAAGAACCTGGGTGTGATTTTGGACTCTGAGCTGTCTTTTATCCCCCACATTAAAAACATCACTAAAAAAGATTTTTATCATCTCAAGAACATCGCCAGAGTCCGACCCATTCTCTCTCAAACCAATACGGAGACGCTGATGCATGCTTTTATAACAAGTAGAATTGATTACTGCAATGCCCTGCTTTCTGGTCTTCCCAAAAAGAGTACTTCAGGTCTACAACTTTTACAAAACTCAGCAGCACATGTCCTGACGAAGACCGGGAAGCGGGAGCACATCACTCCGGTTTTAGAATCACTGCATTGGCTCCCCGTATGTTTCAAGATCGATTTTAAGATACTTTTAGTGGTTTTGTGTCAATGTTATTGGCCCATCTTATCTCTTACAACTGCTTTTACCATATGAACCCTCGCGGTCCCTGTGCTCCTCTGGCAGCCATCTCCTTGTCATTCCTAAAGTCAGGACACACACTCACGGCGAGGCGTCTTTTAGTTATTACGGCCCTCGCCTCTGGAACGGGCTCCAAACAGCATGCTAATCTTTCCTGTTGAGCAGATAACCAGCAACAGATGGTTTCTCAAAAACCAAATCCTAACATTTAATCGGCAGCTTTTATTTTGAGAAATGTTTGAACTGATATGACTGAAAATTTGGTGTACTGATGTGTTTTAGGCACATTTGTTTTACACCTTTGCAGCTACTACCCTGGTTTATAGAATTAACCTCTAACAGTTTAGATTTAGAAAAAGGTCCCTCCCTTCATCACAAGTAAGCTTTAACCTTCATCCATCCATCCATTTTCTGAACCCGCTTGTCCACGCTGGGTTGCAGGGGGCTGGTGCCTAGCTCCAGCGGTCAACGGGCAATCAGGCAGGGTACACCCTGGACAGAGAGCCAGTCCATCGCAGGGCATTACAGAGACACACAGGACAAACAATCACACACACACACACACCTAAGGACAATTTAGACAGACCAATCAACCTAACAGTCATGTTTTTGGACTGTGGGAGGAAGTCGGAGTACCTGGAGAGAACCCGTGCATGCACAGGGAGAACATGCAGACTCCATGCAGAAAGATCCCAGGCCGGGAAGCGAACCCGGGACCTTCTTGCTGCAAGGCAACAGCTCTAACCACTGCGACTGGCCACTGCGCAGCTAAGCTTTAACCGTCTCGAGCAGAACTTCATGTTCCCACTGATCTTTTCATAAATGTTAAATAAAGATTTTTGTAAACTTGTAATTGAAACGGGTATAAAGAAACCCACTTGGCCCAGTTGTTCTTTCCTCATGGCACCGCTTGAATCTGCAGATGGTTGTTTCTAGATTTTTACTGAAATGTCACACACTGGATCAAATCCATATTTTAAGGCAGACATTTGACCATAAATAGTAAGTGTTTTAAACCCATGAGCAAACTGTTGTCACAGTTTCACATCAAGTCACTTCTGGCCTCAAATCATCCAGATGGATTATCAGGATTTGTACCTTTGTCATAAACCTGTCATAAGCCTAAGCAGAGAGGCCCAGACTTCCCTCTCCGCAGCCACTTGGGCCAGCTCCTCCGGGGGGATCCCAAGGCGTTCCCTGGCCAGCCAAGAAACATAGTCCCTCCAGCGTGTCCTGGGTTGGACGCCCGGAAAACCTCACCATGGAGGCATCCAGGAGGCATAATAATCACATGCCTGAGGCACCTCAATTGGCTCCTCTCAATGTGGAGGAGCAGTGGACCTATTCCAAGCCCCTCCCAGTTGACCGAGCTTCTCACCTTATGTCTAAAGCCTGATTCATGCTTCTCCGTCAGCTCCAACAGGGAGAGACACGCACGTACGGACGGAGACATTTTGCCCTCATACTTCTCCGTCTCCTGGGGAGCGTTGCAAAGCAATTCCCCTACAGGACAGCAGAGGGCGTAGCACTGTTCTGTGGTATCCTGTCATGTATCCGGTCCAAGAAAGAGTGTTCATATTGCGTTTTTTTTTTTGTATATAAGAGACTTTTTAGCATGGACAAATTTGTCTCTCATCCTCCTCCACCTCTTCATGCGCTCGCCACCTCTAAACCCACGTTTCCTGTCATTTCCGTCCACAAATAAAATGCCTGCTGCGCATCTTTTCACTCCTCCAGTCACGGGGGAATTAAACGTTCATATTTTTGGGTGTTCTTCAAGCTTCTCTGTGTCTGCCGCTAGTTATTCTCAGCACTCTTTATGTTTTGAGGGTGCAATGGCAGCGGTGTAGACGACAGCGGTGCCCTGACCAATCACAAGCTTGCGTTCTCCATCTCGACAGACGGATGTTTAGGACAGAGAGCTAGACTCCGTACGTCCTTGCGGGGCTCTCCAGCAGGCCCGCAAGGACGGATAATGGCGTTGTGTGTCTCTGCACTGACGCAGACGCAGAAGCATGAATCAAGCTTTAGGGAGAGCCCAGACACCCTGCGGAGAAAACTCTTTTTGGCCGCTTGTATCCCCGATCTCCTTCTTTTGGTCACTACCCAAAGCCCGTGCCCATAGATGAGGAATAGACTGACCGGTAAATCAGCTCTCTCTTCACCACGACAGATCGGTACAACACCCGCATCACTCCAGAAGCAGCACCTATCTGCCTTTCAATCTCGAGCTCCATCTTTGACCCAGAGAAGCCGTTCTAACCATTTTCCGAGTCAAGACCATGGTCTCGGATTTAGAGGAGCTGATCCTCATCCGAGCTGATTCACCTTCGGCTGCGAATCACTCCAGCGAAAGCCGGAGATCGCGTTCTGATGCAGCCAACAGGACCACATCATCTGCAAAAAGCAGAGACCTGATCCTTGTG